AGAGTGAGAGAGAGAGAAAGTGAGAAAGCAAGCTGTCGGATCCAGGATTTGAACCACAGTCAGCCAAGGGGGAGTCCAGTATCCTTAACCACCACACCATCCACCAGCCCCAATGGTCCAACAGTTCTCTTTACAAATTAGAAACCCCCAAGAGAATTAAGCTTAGCCTTTCATTTGTAGGTTGGTACAAATGAAATACCAGCTACTCGAGTCGTTTCATTTTTAACTGTGCTAGGCATAGTGAAGAAGCAGTAGCTCTGGCTGTGAGGAGGTGAGAGAAGTTAACTTGGAGCACAGGGTGCCTGGGGAAAGAAAGTCAAGTGAGAGTCTGAAAAAACAGCAAGGGGCCCAAAAAGGAGGGGCTTCCAGGAAGGGGATGCCAGGAGACAAAGGAAGAGGCAAGAAACCTTAGAATGTACACCTTACGGAATTTCGTGAGATTTGCAACAACCAGAAATGCCTACTGCAATTGCAGGGTAATTTCAGGTGTGAGATTTCATTTGGAACAAACTAATTTTAAGCACGAAGTTGCCAGTGTAAAAAGCTGGCCATGTCTTAGAAAGAGGGGGAAAAAAAATCCATGGAGCTGAGCCACCAAAATTAAAGAAACATTCAAATTATCCTCATATTATTTAAGTTAGTTGTCTTTAAACTGAATGGAATCTGCCAAAACTTTTAGAAGAAAAAGGAAAAAAATAAATGCTTTAATTCTTCAGAATTGCACTCTTCCCCAAAAGTAATCAGGTCCCTTTTAGAGCAGTTTTTATGTTTGTAAACACAATTTGGGACACACTAACAACTAACAACGTTCTCTGGAGCAATTCAAATCTGTGTTTCCTGTCACACAACCGTGGTGTTGGCTCTTCGTGAACCTGCACTAAACACAAAGACATCTTACCCACAGGAAGCCATGCGCCGTGGAAAATGAATCCGGCTGACTTTCATTGTTTAGGTAAGGTTCAGGGTTATAAGCAGCACATTCAATCTAAAGTGGAATAAAATCAAACACTCACATATAAAATGGTCCCGGAAGGCTTCTAGACTATATAATGTCTTAAAAAGATGGCAACTATTAACATACAACCACAAAAATTTCAGATTATTACCTATCAAAGATTAAAAGAGGAAGGGTAAACAGATTATGTCTTTAAAAAGTCAGCTTTTAGAAGCAAATATCTAAGTAGACGCAGCCTCTGGTATTTTATTCTTCAGATCCTATGGACCGGCTGAAAACTTGTGATGTGGATGGAGCGTGTCAGACAGGAGGAAGCGAGCCACTACAATTGGCGTGTTCCTCTTCCTTCCCTGTCCTAGCCCGGCTTCTCCCGGGCGCATGTTTGTGACAAGAGCTTGGGACTTCCAAAAGGAGTAGTTGTGGGTGCTACAGAGCAACCCAGGTTCCAATTCTAATCGTTGGTCAGAGACCAGGAATGACCAATAATGAGAAGAAGGGTGCAAATGAGTGAATGAATGAATGCCTTTTATTTCTTAAAGAAAGGCAAGACAAGCCATTGAGGTAACTGAAGGTACTGGCTTGCTGTGCTTGAATCCACATTAATCAGGTGCCACCAGGAAGTGGACTTTGCTTTAACAGATCCTGGACACGGCACATTAGGTGGACATAAGACCTCCCACGCATTCTGATCCATTGTGTAAATCAACTGTTTCACAAGCCAAGGCATTACAGAGCTGACAAATGTGAAACACGTGTGTCCCTTCTTTAACAAATGATGCCTCAAATGCACTGGGGCTGTTTCTATACTCCAGTGCCCTGTGGAGCTTACATCCCAGAAACAGGCCTCGAGGATAAAGGCTGATCGTCATTTAGGTTTCAAATGACAACAATCTTTATTTCTAAATAAGTTACCTCTAGAAAAGGAAAAACTATGGTGAACCTGGACAGACAGTGTTTTGCCCATGCCCCTCATCTCCCAAGTAGATCCAATTAAAGAAGGAAGGTGCTACCCACAGTGGGGAGGGGCACTTAGCCCCTTCGCCCCTCACCTTGAACTCCTGCTGCTTGGCCACCAGCACGGGCATGTGTCCAACCAGAAGAGGATGTTTTTCCTTTTTAATTTGATTCCCATCATCTTCCACACAGAACCAGCCCATATGGTTCTCCTCTTCTGTAATGATAATCACAGAGAAAGAGAACAAGGATCGCATTAACTCATACTTAGCAGAAATCCACAGGGTTGACGGGGTGCTAGCAGCAGACGTTTCTAACATTCTACTTGCAGATTGAAAAAAAAAAAATCTTTTATTTCTGGAAAACAGTAAAAATCTGTTCTTAAAGGCATGCTCTAGATTCACTGCTTTATTTTAGAACGTGCCATGACCTGCATTTAAGTAATGGGCACATCCTCCTGTCCGCTGCTCCTGAATGCACCAAATGCAAAGGGTTGCAAAACATGGTTTGTATAGGGCCATCAGGTGGCGTGGTGGTGAAGATGCTGGATCCCACATGGTTGGATGGCACAGTTCAAATCCCAGACCTGGTGTCTTGACAAGCAAGCTGGGCACATGCACGTGTGTACCCCAAATCCTGAGAGGATAGAGGAGAAGGGACTGTAGCAAGGCCATCTCCCATTGGGGGGGATAGGGTGATTTCTAACTCATCCACCCCCCATCTTTCCTTCTCTCTCTCTCTGGCTCTTTCCAGTAAGTTTCCCTTTGTCAGTTTTTTCTCTTTTTTCAAAATGACTGAGAGGTTTAGATGCAAATACCAGAGATGCAGTGAGACATCTTTAAACATGGTCTAACATTATGGAATTTTTTTAAAAGGAACAATGAAAAGAAGAAATATTTTGCTACCAAAGCACATTGCCAATCGCAGCCTTGAGGAACACATAACTGATCTAAAGATAAAGGGAGATCATTTTCACCAGTTTATTCTCTCCAGAGACAGGATCGCTTCCTTATTTGCTGAGTCACTTGAACTCAACTTGACAAACTGCTGGATTTTTCAGGAGCTATGTTACCACTTCCTCTCCCATTGAGTCAACTCAGGAAGGCTTTCCCTTTTGTGATAAAGCCCTTCTCCTTCCATTAATCATAGCTCGCGAGGGTGGTGAGCACTGCTCCAACTGCCTGTTTCTCCTCTGCATTTTAGTTTCAGTTCACATTTCAGATTATCTGCATCAGAAAGAGAATTTCCCCCACACACACACACGCACACGCACCCACATAAACACCCAGTGTGTTCCGAGTAATAAAAATCTGTAAGTGTATATATAAATTACAAGCTGTGTGCGTCTGTGTGTAAAAAATAATCATCATGAAGTCATATGCATCCACACAAATACAGGATTTATTATTTTTGGCACTGGGAGGGTCATTAGCAACAGTTCAGTCCCACCCCTGAATGTAGTTTTTCAGTGAGGAGCTGAGGACACAGGTCCCGATGGACAATGGCCTTGCTGCTGTTCAGGGACAGACTCACACTGGACTCAGGGCTGGAGGATCGGACTCACTGCCACTCAAAGGGCTGAATCCTGGATGGACAGTCTCAACTGCTATTAACATTTTGTTACCATAAAATCCATAACTTTGTTCCAGCAACTCCTACAGTATAATACAAACTGCTTAAAAATCACTGCACTGGGGTTCATTTTTCCCATTTAAAAACATTCTTTCAGGTGAAGGGATCTGTCATCATGCTCACTTCTCAACCCTAATTTTTATCCCCATAGGAACATATTTCATCATAACGTAGGAAACTGTCTAGAGGCCTCTGAAATTCGCATGGTCTCTTATTTGTGCACGCCTCATTTAGCTTAAATCAAGCAGATCTTACCGAGGGCGAGCTTAGCCATCTGTAAGTTGTTGATCCAAGACTCTTTGATGGCAGGGGTAAACGTATTGAACACAGCTGTAAAGAAAGTCGGTCGCCCCGACCTGCCAGAAATAATAGACAAGCATCCACTTCATCAAATGTGTGCCATCGCATGAAAATAAGCTACACAGTCTGCCTGTCTGATACAAGCGTTAGACCCACCACCACCACCACCACCACAAAGCATACAGATCAGGGGGAAGAACTTTTTTCCCCAACACCGGCCAAGAAGGTTTCATTTTTAAATGACTACTAACTTGTCTTGCTTCCCTGGGAGCTGCAACTGAATTCTGCAGCAGTCAGCAGCTCTGATTTCATCTTCTTTCTTCAAAATAAGTCTTTGTAAACCTGATGTCCAATCATGGGCCACTGACTGGTTTAAGTTCTACCAAAAAAAAAAAATTACATACACATGTTTAAAGTGCTTTTTGTTGTTGTTGTTGTTTTAATAGGACCATCCTAAGGAGAAAGAAAAAGCAAAGCTGTAACATGAAAATTTGGCAGACCAAATCATAATATTTGATCATGAAAATAAAAAAGTAAACCTTGGGAGTTACATCACATTGTAGAACCGAAGAAGGCCAACTTGGGGTTTGGCAGGACTGCAGCCATTTTGAAATGAGGAAAGGCCTCTACTATTATAGAACGACTTGAGCAAGTGCTGAGTCATGGGGAAGTCTATTGGAGGAACAGTTGGATGAGAAACCAGGAATGGATATTGGAAGTAAAACAGGTATCAGGGTAATTATTCAGGGAAGGCAACTGTCTGATCAATTGTAGTGAGGAATGATTTGCAAGTGCTTGTATCTTATATCTATAAATACTGAGAACAACACACTGAGCTTCTGGGGACAGTTTGATGGTGTTTGCTGCCTGTCTCCCTGTAACCAGTTACAGACATAAACTCCCTTCTTCTCCAGCCTCTGTCTGTTGTTTCGATGACCATGAGAAGCAGCAGCTGGACTTAGTTTGAGTGTGAAAGTTTGACTGAGACATCTGGAAGAACTGTTATTTGAGTCTGCTTGCAAGACAAAGAAAAGTGACACTTCAATAGTTTCACCTTATCCAAAATAAGAGAAAATGCACAATTGATCAATTTAAAATGATTTTTAAAGAGTGAAAATATATTTGAAATCGAATTGCTTCTATTGTTACCTGATAATTTCCTTTGAGGTTTCCTACTAGCTGAGAGATTTGACCAATTACATTTAAGTCATGTAGCAAATTTTGTAAATCTTGGTACAGTTGTCCTGGCCCCATGTAAACTTTGTCTACAAATTAAACAACAAGAAAGAGTTCAGTTCTAAAGACATGATGACTCCCATGCTTGAGGGAAGGAAATACTAGAATAAATTCTAGTTAATTTATGTTATATTGTACATGAACATATAATGTGTGTATATACACGTATGCCCACATACTTTAAAACTGAAAGATATATGTATATTTCCAATATAAATATCTCAGATATATATGTATCTAAAAGTAATCAATATTTAACTGAAGAATAGGATAACCATAATTTTTCAAGCATATTATGTTAAAAACAAAATTACATAGGTATAAATGCATTCAGTAGGCCTGATTTTTATTACTTATCTGGACATTTCTATAATTACCTGCATCTGGAGTATTATGAAATTTCCCAGTGGTTATAAATTTCAACAACATCATTCTTCCCTACAGTCTACTTACAATTTAAAATATTTTTATCTGATAACACATATATTTGTTTTTATTTAAAAACTTTTCATGATAAATCCCATACACATAATGCAATAGTAGATTATAAGTGCTATATTAACTTTATGAAATCTGTTGACATCCTCTGTTTTTGCCATAGGGTATGTGCGATCACCAGACAAACAGAGAGAGAGGGAGAGTGAGAAATCACCCCCCAGGGGATATGGCAATGCCACAATCCCTACTCCTCCATTCACCTCTTGGGATTTTGGGCACATATGCACACATGCCTGGCCTGATTATCAAGCCGCCAGGTCTGGAACTCAAAACCAGGTGATTGGCCATGTGGGATCCAGTGCCTTGACCTCCACACCACCTGCTGGCCGACAACACCCATTTTTCATATTACCCTTACAATTATCACTCAGTAAAATGGATCCCTTTATTTTTGGTGTGCAGCTCTCTAAATGTTAACACCTGCCCTCCCTAATCAGCACAGCTTTATCATGCACCTGACAGCTCTGCTTTCTGCAGAATGGCTCCATGGCTTTACGGAACGTCTTCATCACCCAAGGACCACTTCATTACCCAAGGACCTCGCTGTCCCTTTAAAGTCACACAGCCTCACCCCCCTTGTCCTGGAAACCTGGTCTCCATCACTACAGCTCTGTCTTACAGTCATCTGCATCAATTTTTCACACATAAACGGTATACAGGGTCTTAGAGTCACACAGCTATTCAATTGAAGAGGCTTGCCCCCTTGGTTTGGGAGGACAGGTGTCTACCTTGGATAATAACAATTTTATTAATTATGAGAGTAATTAATGCCACGAGCAACACACAACACAGTAATGCATTGGCAGAAAGAAAACCGGACTGGAGCACTAATCCTGCT